CCCCCCTCTTCAGCCTCCCTTCTGTGCCCTCTTTCTTCCCCTCCTTTTAGTCCTAAAACGAACCCAAATTTATGCCGCAATTTCATTTATCACTGCTCCTCGGCCCTGCCTGCCTGCGGCTCGGCCTAGGCCCCCGGGCGCCTGCTGCTGTACTGACTGAGGCCCGGCGCGGCGGCCGCAGTGCGCGGCCTACGGTTGGATTTATGTCGAACCGCGAAAAAAGGAGGGTCGAAAAGAGTCCGCAGAATGCAAACGGGCGCGAGGCGAGGCCCCGGCCCACCCACTCACCTATCATCTTGTAGCTCTCGGGCTCCCAGGGCGGCGGCTCCTTGGTCGCCGCGTCGAACTCGTAGTACAGCAACGAGAACGTCTCCTTGCAGGAGAGCGCGTTGCCCGGGAACAGCGAGCAGTCGCGGATGGTGAACTTGATCTCGATGTAGATGCGGTTGGCGGTGCCGCGCTCGATGAACGGCGTCCACAGCCAGTTGTTGACGCTGTTGTACGCCACGTCGCACACGACGTACGACCGCCAGTTGATGCCCTTGTCGAAGTTGGTGAACGACTCCTCCACCCACTGCAAACAGAGAAAGAAGACGAGGGGCGGTTAGAAACACTGCGACGAGAGCCTCATCATCCGTTCGGGTTCACCGCACAGCCGCTGCCGGAGACGTCCCCCCGAGGCCGCTGGGGGTATCGCCTCGGCAGTGAACGGCCAGCGCATCGCTGCTAATCAGACGCCGGCCATAGCGCGGCGCGCCCGGAGGCGCCGCGGCCAGGGCCAGAGGCGCCGGCGCCACCGACCGGGCTCCGGTCAGTTGCCTCGCGGAGGAGACGGCGGGCGAGGCGGAGGAGGAGGAGACGGCGCAGAAAAACAAACCATTCATCTCCCTCTGCGTCCTCCTCGCCATATCCTTCCTCCGCGCCCGCGCTTCTTCGCCGTCATCCGGCCGCCAGGAAACGCGAGGAAGAGAAATAATACAAAAAACAAAACACGAAGACCGACCGAGAGGAGCAAAGTCCATCCCCCAACATCACATTCACATTCATTGTGCAGTGCGTCGCGTCCCGGCGGAGGGGGACAGCGCAGCAGAGAGAGAGAGAGAGGCTTTAAAGCAAAATAAGAAATACATGAATGTTATAGTTTGTGAGGGGAAAGGGTTCTTTTCTTTTCTTTTTTGATATTTTACA